TGAGTGGTCCCTGTTAGGCTTCACTGGTTGATGGAGGTCTCCCCTCTATCCTCCCATTTAGCCAGTGCTCCCTTAAGCATTTTCCATCAGCAAGGAGCAATTCTGACTCACTCAACCTCATCTCTCCTCTGTCCCATATACTTTGAGACAAGCTTAAAATTCAGTCTGGATCAACCTGTCATGCAGATCCTCTTTATCAATTTCCTATCACAAAAATTAATCCCTGCAAATAAGTGCTGTTAAAAAGATAAACTAAATCCATTTTCATCTCCTCCTGTTATTTCCTATCTAGAAAAGGGTTCAGGTAAACCTTAAGCTGGTGGGAGACAAAGATAGGGACCTGTGAGCAAGTGATTTTTTTAATACACAGACATGGGAAGAAAACACAATCAAAATACAAGCAACTTTCAAATCCACTTAAAACAAACATTCTTAACTGTCCTTGCTGATGCAAAACAAAAAACAACTAAACACTGGAAATATCAAACATCTTGTTATGTTTACCTCCAATAAAAGTAAAGTCAGAAATTCAGGGTTTCCAAACACCCTGAAAAGAGAACTCTTTGCTGGTAACCTGGCAGCTCCAGGAGCAGATCCCTCACCCCTCTGTGGAACAGCCACATTTCACCCTCTCCTCATCCCACAGGAGTCTGATCTGTCCCTGACCACAACCCCACAGGGGTGTTGTGCTCTGCTCTTTTGCAGAGCACATAAACAAACCTAAGTCACTTTCCAGCAAAATTATCACCACTGCTGTCTTTAATGACAAATTATTCTTGAAAATTATACTCCTTTTCGCTTTTTATGGAAAAGTATGTGGAAAAAGACAGTGTATCTTTTTCCCAGTTATTATGGAATGAGCATCACTGTCTGGTGCAGATGCTCTGACTTTGGCAATAATGTTTGTTCCATCTCACTGGGGAGGCCCCATCTTTGAGGTCAGCTCCAGAAGTAGCCCTCACTTGAAAAATCATGGTGAATATACAGGCGCAGCTCTTTTCTCTCTTTCTTCATAGCTGTTTCTAGGAGTGGAAACACTCATTCTTTTTGTCTCTTTTTGTCAGGATACCTGCTCATGGGAGGTACATATTAAGGGACATGTCTTTGTTTTTCCAGACAGGATGAGGAAGGCTGCAAACCAGAATGAAATGGGGTCACACAAATTGGGGCATAAACGTCCACAAGCTTAATTCTGTCTCCAGAGTCAGATGGGGATCTTTTTTTTTTCCTTGGTTCATTCTGGTATTTCCTTAAAAAAAAAAAAAAAAAAAAAAAAAAAAAAAAAAAAAAAAAGCATGCAGAAGGCATGCAGATAGAACACCAGGATTGAGGAGGGTAATTTTGTCTATGGCACCCATCCCACATGGGTGGAGGCACCCAGTGCTGGGACCTGATACTGGGGGCAGTTTCCAGTGTTTTGGAGACCATTTGCACAGGGAGTGTGACTTCTCCAAGTCCTGCTGAGCTAGAAAGATGAATCAGGGCCTGAAACAGACGAGAGCATTTTGGGTCAGGTCTGACGCTGGCCTGACATTTGTTCTGATGTGCTGTGTAAGGACACAGGTGCTGAGACCCCAGAGTGGGGCTGGGCTGAGTCAGTGAGTCACAGGAAGGGGGAAACACACGGTGGGCCTGAAGGTCATTTGTATCTGTGCTCATAACATTGAGTTCTTCAGGCACAAAGAAATAATATCATAAATCCAGGGAAGACCAGCATCAACTTGTGACATTGCCACTGTTATCCAAGCAGCAGCATGCAATATTTTCTGGAAAGCATTTTAAGGATAAAAGCACATGTTCTTTTCCTTTTTCAAAAATATGTAGACCTTTATAGCCAGCAACAAAAAAATGTACAGGACAAGTTACTCCCTAAAGAAAGAAAAAAGCATTAAATACTTGGTATTTTCCTGAGTTTAAAAACCAAAACAAATTTTAAATCTTTTCTGTTAATGGTATTAAAATAATCATCATTCTTTCCTTGTGTCTGCAGTACGTAGTCACAGTCCATTAAGGCAATGTGTCAACATTGTTCATAACAGGATTTAAATGAAATAATCAAGTCATCAGGACTATTTCAACATCAATAAAGCCTCAGAGTGATCATTATGTACAGCCATGAAACAATACCTTTTTGCATACTTTCCCTGATCAGATTAAAGTGGTGATGAATTCCTCGATGGCTCAAGTGTGCTCCAAGGAAAGCTAGAAGGTTGTACAGTTAACTCCCAGGGTGTAACTCTAAACCATACAACCTACTACCTCAACCCGGATGCACACAGCTTCCGACGGTGACCATAAAGTCTTCTTCATTTCTTCAGCCTTTCCTTGAAATGTGACAGCAGCCACTGGCCTACATATTTCCCATGGAGGGAGGCTTTCCACTGCAGTTATTTCCCACTTTTCAGTTCATAAGGTATATTCTTAGATAGATTTTTCTACTGCAGAAGTAGAACTTCTGTACTATCTTGTTTACATATGTATAAAGATATATACGTGTGCTGTGTGCGTATATATATGCATACATATTTGATAGAGATGGTTAAAACCCAGAACATCTCTGGAAGTAAATAAGTATTTGGTGTTACTTTAAAATAAGAATAAAATATAAATGCCTTCTTTGTTTTTGAGTGTAATACCATGGAATGGCATATTTAATAAGGCCAGGAAATTGTATATACTACATTCCCTCACTGGAAACCCTACGGTTCCCTCACGCCTCTTTTAAATTTTAACAAGATATTAAGCCAAAGATGCTTAAAGCAACGTCTAAAAGAACAAATCCCTTAATCAGGTTGGAAGGCAATGGACAAGAGAAGAATTTCAGAATCAGCACATGGTTCTGTACCCTCATTTGGGCTTGTTGTCAAACACCACTGCAGTGGGTGCTGCGTGAAGTTTTGCCAGATCACCACACTGACACAGACCCATAGAAGCGAGCTTGTGCAGTGCGTTTCAACACAAGATCGGATCTACGGGTTTATGCCAATTGGCATGGCTGGTTAGGGCTTTCCTCTTACAGGGACTGCAGCAGACTTCAAACAAACAAACACACCACGCGACATGAGAACGAGTACCCAGGAGTGAAATCATTACCATCTATTGCAAAGAAGGCTCCTCCAAGCTTAACTGCATAAATGGTGGAGGCAACAAACAAGCCAAAGATTTGTTTCAAATCATTTCTATTTGAAAATGGAAGGATTTTTTTTTTTAACAGTTTAATGGCAAGAGATTGTTCTGTCTTCAGCTGGAACTAATGTGCTTTTGTCTGCTGTTTCCCTTACTGATGAACCCTCAACTCCCAACTTGCATCTGACTATGGTGTGCTCGACTGGAATCAAAAACTGGACATGTCATAGAAGCGAACAGTAAGGGTTTTCCTTCATGTCTGAGCTCATATCATGTACTACAATTCAAAATAAAAATTTACCCCACCAAATCTGAGATGCAACAAGGCACAGTGGAGTGCTGCTCCTATACAACATTGTGATAACATACAACATTGTGATAACTGCATAGCTATTTCTTCATATTATACCACAACTAAAGTGCTGCTTGACAATGACTTGTTGATTGGATAACAGCCACTAAGCAAAGCAAAGAAGTTAATTTGTATATTTTATTCACTAACCCTCCCATCAATGCAATTCCCTAGTAATGAGAATGCAAGTGGAAATGCAATCTTGCAAAACTTCAGGGTTAACGCCTTCAACAAATCCATGCTTCTTCTGACAGGCAAGCAACCCACTAAAAATTATGCCACACTTAATGTAGTGTACCCTAAACAACAGACTGAAAACAGCTTCTTTGGGGCAAAACCCAGCAATTCAGAAGGGTGACACACAGACACAATTTTATAACTTTCATACTCCAGCCAAAAGCATTGAAAAACACTGCACCTTTAAAGCACAACACCTGACACATCAGAATAACTGGCAACAATATGAATGCAAAGGCATTTGTAAAATACAACCATGAGATGCAGGTATAATTTTAAAACCAGGCACCATATAAAGGTGTCTTTTGATTTAAGCAGGTAACTGAAATCTGTATCTGAATAAAATTTTAATGCCTTCCTTCTTCTAGTCCTCACCATAGTCCTAATTCTGCCATTGTTATTTGGGCAAAATACTTTTCAAGAGAATAAATATTTGTCAATAGCAAAGTTTTTTTACCAAGTCAATGTTTCATTTTCTTGCAGACTTCAACATGTATTTCTGGTTCAGAAATGACAGCTGAATATTAGTGAATTACCATTTCCTTCTCTTTTTAAAATTAGTGAATTAAATCTTGCATGTTCATTTCCTCTTGCATTTTAAAATAACTTTAGTTTATTTTCTAGAAAAGTCTCTTTTAAACCTGCTTTCGATTTCTATGCAACACATCAGCATTCAGAAGGAATGATATTTTTTTAACTGCATTCTGCTGACACTGTAGAGAATATGTAGAGACAAGCCCTCAAACTAGAATAGTTTTCCTAGTATCAGAAATGAGTATGCAGACTGCATATACAACTTACTGAATGATTGTAGTGTTATAAAATTGCTTTTCCCGTTTTCTTTCTTTTTTATTTTTGTGAATAGAAGATATATTTCATATTTGAAAAATGATTGGTCACTGCATTAAAGTTACATAGTAGAAAGTAGATATATGTACTATAAATACACTAGTAATAGGAGTATATTAGTAAATACATGTCTTATATATCTTATATATCTGCTAGGCCTAATCAAAGAACAAATTATGTTTTGATTTTTCAGTTAATTCTTAAGCTTCATGTAAACATACGGTATAAAGCTACATCTTTATGCAGTTACAGCTACACAATCTGCAACATTCCCAACAGCAAATAACGAGAGCAAAAGTTTAATGCACATCTCTGAAATTATATTTGTAGGCTGTCTTAAGGAAATATTTTTTAAACTTTTTCAGGTTCTTGCCAATAGCTTTACTGTATAACCAAATAAAAAAAAGAAAAAAGTTATTTAAGATCATTGTATTACCTTCGCTGAAATCTGGTATCATTAACTTCTTCATTTTCCTTTTTCATTTTAATTTTTCTTTCACTAAAATAAAAAAAAAATAGTGAGAGAAAGATTTTGAAAAATCTGTTTTATGTCAAGTGTTTTCTGAACATGAAATAGACACAAAATTAGTAATTATTCTTTTAAGATAAAAACCCGACAGTGCTGAGGCCCCTCCTCAGGGCCATGGGAAGACATGCTGTGAACATGCATGCTTTGGAAAAGGGGATTCTTTCTTTCATTATTTTCTAGCCTTTTTTTTTAACCTGAAAATACTTAATTTCTATTAGGAATTTCAGAAGAGAAGGAGCAAACTTAACAAAAGGGAGTACTTTTTATCAAGCAGTGAACACAATGAGGTAATTAGGTACGGAACTTCAGAAAAATACGGGCATAAACTAAGTGGCTAAAATTAAGAAACATTTGCAAAAACTTATTGGTAGGGGGTATTGGGGGATTGTCTGACCAGATAGAGAAATTTGAAAAGTTATTTTAAGCTAATGCAAGCCTTGGTTTCTCAATAGGCTTAGGTATCAATGACAAACAAAACTATTCCAACAAAGTATAGGGGAGGGCAATATCACCATAAGCCTAAGAAACACTTTCTGGTTGAAAATGAGTATATGGAGGTGTATGTGTCATATATATATATATATAAGGTCTCTATTCAGCAATTTCCCAGAATTCATTGCAGAACAACAAAAATATAAAGTAGCAAAACTAGCATATAATCTTATAATCATATCATCTATAATCTTAGAAATTACTCTCTACTCAGTAATGCATAAAAAGTGAAGAACATGTTAAAACAGATCTATTTCATAAAGAATATTTATAAAGCCTTTTATTATAGATGAAAATATCATTAATATTTTGAAAAAAACCCAACAAATGTAAGAGTTTCTGATGAAAGAGATGCTGTAATTTCCAAGTCATTTCTAGCTAAGAACATCTGTATTTTTAACATAAATTAAAAAGACTAAGATAATAATAAAGAAAAAAATAATCCAAACTATGTAAAACACCGATTTGGCCGAGATTTTCAAAATCTGTCAGTCAGAATGAATTTTGTTACATAGTCTTCTAATTGCTTAGGAATATGTTACAACAAACAGACAAATGCCTTAAGTTAAAGGCTCTACTAAAGCGTCATATGCTCAAAACTTACTTCAACTGTACATGCAATTATCACAAACATCCTGAATGGGTATCTTAAATACTGTTTTCAGCTATTCCTGGACAAGTGCTCCTTTTCCAAATATCTTGAAATAGTTACTGCTACTGGCTGCAAACCAGGCGTGCTTCATGAATGTCCCAATAATGTGCCTTTTATTCCAGTGCTTATCACACTGATTTCTTTGTAACAGATTTAGATATAAACTGTAAGAAACTCATATTTGAATTAACTTAGTTACAACTTTAATATACAGGCTACAAGAGCGATCCTTTCCTGTAGCTTAACACGTTTTTTTTTTTCACTTCTCCTCTTTAGAAACTGAAAGCATGAGTCACACTGTAAAAAAGAATTTAATTTCCTTAGCAACCAGATCTAAATACCCACAACTTTCTTAGAGATAACCAAAGCTTAGACCGAGTAAATGTAACATTAAGGTCTTTGCATAACTCCAGTGCTTAGCTAAGACAAAATGTGCCTAACCACTTATTTCTACAGACCCTCGATTTTTGTTTACTTTCTATCTTTAGCAGCATTAGATCAAACACACCCCCAAAAAGTTAGTTTCAAAAAGTGTGAAGAGAAGACTACATTAAAATTAAGACACAAGAACTCAGTTGCAGAACAACACGTTTAAAACGGCTTAAAAAAAAGAAAAAGAGGAAAAAAAGAAACAGAAGCTATACCTGATATGAAAGATACGTGTTCACCCAGTGCCAAATACTGCTATGTAAGCAATAGTGAAAAAACCATGCAAACAAACAAAAAATTAGTTCCATCTTTCTTTTTTCTTGTTTTGTTTTTACTTAAAGAAACAATCTCCTGTGCTCATTTTGTTACACTGTTTTAAGAAGCTCTAACACGTCCTGATGCCTCTGTAGTGAAACATGCCAGATTTTTTTTTTTTGGAAGCAGGAGAGTCACTTTTTTTTTCTGTACTCTTGTATGTAGGACAAACTCAGATTTGTCTCTTCTTCTTAGGGCTCCTGTTCTTTCTCGGAAGAAGACCAGGATGCCTGTCTTCTCTCTCTCTCGCTCTTCTCGGAATTCCAGGCACAAAGCACTGCGCAAAAGCTGCACCAATCCTTGCCGCAACTGCCTGCCCAGGACAAGAGGTGGGGAGAGACCAGAAAATTCACCTCGCCCCTGAGCCGGTTTTATAAATGGGGCTTGCACAAATGTGCCGGAGGAAAGGGGTGAAAAGGCAGGGTGCCAGTTTGCTACACTAGGCTGCAATGATCTCATGTTCAATGCTGTCGCCCCGTTTGCCCAGTTCAAACGCCTGTTCATTAAACAGAAGGAGGGGAAAAAAAAAAACCAACAAAAAGAAAAGAAAACCCAGAAAAATAAAAAAAATAACAACTTTTATCCTTCAGACACTCAGGAGGGCTGCTCTAAACTACACGTCACCAATAAAAAAAGAAAACGTGCAGTTCTAAAATGCAGTTATGAAGTATAATTATTCTGCTTATATTTTCTTTCTTTCTTTTTTCTATCTGGAGATAAGAAGCAGAATTTATCAGGCGTGAAAGGGACAGCCTCCTGGTGGTGTGCCAAAAAAGCCAGAATAAAGGCAAAGTTGTGCTTCAAAGCTCAATTGCTTGCTGAGTCTGGCTAAAGTCAAGTATTAAGATCCACCATTTTCTGAGCCATGTAAGAAAAGAGGAAAAAAGTCAGAACGGGCACCGCTTTCCAAGTCTCCGTTGGCACCATCACAAAATCTCAGCCGTAAGGTCACATGATGCTCTGCCAAATGTGGAGTGCATTCCCATAAACCATTCTGCTGATACTGCGAAGGCAGCTATTGTCTAGTTTATACCCAAAGTTCAGCCCACTCTTCATTGAATTAGCTGAAAAACGCATCACCTTTGGGGGTTGGGAGCCATGGAAACGTCTACCTGGCAGGCTGCCCACTTTTTCTGCCCAACAACCAGAGATGGAATTGTGCTGCCTAATGTAATGGTGACGAGGAATGTGAAGAGTCGTCCAAAGTGAATCTGATTCTTGCAAAGCCTGCTTCATTTGCACAGCAAACTCTGGCTTCTTGTCATTAAAAAGGGGAGGGGGAAGGGTAGAAGAAAAAAAAAAGGTGCCTTTCTCCTAAATGTAGCAATTAAAGGTCTAGTAAACATGCCTAGTCTGCAACTTTCCTTCATAACATACTGAAATGGTTCCCAAAATAAAGCACTTGGTATAACACAAGTTTTCTGATTTAAAGCAGCACTCGCTTCTCCCCAGATTAAAGTGACATCCCCTGGACATTTTTTTTCTCCCTAAGAAAAATAAGAAAAGGAAAAAACCCTACACAGCAGATCTCTCATCTCTTCTTTTTACCTGTCTTTATTACTTCCTGATTTTATCTAACACAAATTATACATGCATGCGGCAATACCCACCAGTAACGGTGGGGCTGCAATCTTCCTCAAAGCAGTGTCTCCTGAGAAAATTGCTTGTGTTTTCAGCAACACAAAACTCTTCATCTGAGCCCTCTTATCTTCATCAGCGAGTAGGACAGCTGGTCTGCAAGTTTGCAAACCAGCACATTTGAAACCAGTCAGCACCCTCCCTTCTTCAAAATGCATTTAAACTGGATTTTGTGAAAAGAGATGCAATCAGGCAGAATTTATAAATGATGCAAGTTACTAAATAGACTAAGTAATAGACATTACTCTTCTGCTACAGACCTGAAATTTCGATTTTGCCCAGCTATTGTTCTACAGTAAAATGTCACGGAAAATGTCACTTCCAAATGAAAATACCACATAACCTACTGAGCAACAAACACATGCTCTCCCAGCACCTGAAAACCTCATACAGAAGAATTGACCTCAGAGCTTTGTGTTGTCAACAAATGAGTTTACTGTTTCTACACCATGAACTTTAATAGCTACTGCAAAAAGAGATGTTAAAAACGTGGCAATTTCTCTGATCCTCCCATTAATAAAAATGGAGCTGTGGGAGGAGTCTCCCTACCTATTAGCATGTCTGCAAAGGCTCCTCTGAAAGCTGCATGCTAGAGAATCTTATAGGTAAAATCTGGGAAGAAAAGGCAAACAAACTAGGAGATAACAGGCTAGAAGTGTGAGGGCAGCAAAACCCATTCCCAGATACACTGCAGGCTATAACTCTCCAGCTCGGCTACTTTTATGTTTTGTTTTACAGTTCTTTCCAGTTGCACTTTATTTACCTGGAGGAAATTGAAGGTTCATTACCAAAGGAAGGAAGCCTGAGAAAGGGGGCTTTGAAGTGGAGGGAGATTGCTATGATGGTAGCGTAGCCCTCAGAGTGAGGTCCTGAGGCTGTCATCCAGCTGGGACTAGGACAGTGCACATGGCAGTACAGGTGACACCCTGCCTTGCTCCTGGCACATCCTGAAGGCTGGGATCTGGGTTTCTGGGAAGGCAAGTGTGACTGGAGGGGGAGAACACTTGGAGCAGCCTCTATGGATGGTGGTGGCATTGCTGGTGGGACTCAGAGGATAAGGAGAAGGTACAACCACTCCAGCCCAGCAGGGGCAAGGGGATGGGAGGAGGTGTTAGGTACAACATTAGGGGATGCAAGTGACCCTGCTCTGTCTGCTGAGCCAGTGCTCGTGGGGTCAGCCCCACTCTGGTCAGCTGGTGGGAGCTGTCAGTCAGAAGAGAAGCTTGCTATGACTCCAGAAAATCAGTTCATGGCTTAGTTTGCCTCTTTTCCAGCTTTGGAGGTTTTCAAGGGCCAGCAGCTGGAGGAAAGCCCTCTGACACAGTGACATGGTGTAAGCTCTCTCAAATGGTCTTCCAGACCTCAATGCCATGTGCATGGCTTTGAATCCAGACTTCCTTTCCTTTTCCCTATGAACTAAAGATGTCTGACCAGGTGCCACAAGGAGATAAGTGGAAATGCTGCTTATCACTCCAGCTACTTGCCACAAGACCCACGGCTTGGACACAGGTTTCACACTGACCTCCTAGGACCACAAACAAGCTCTGTGTGTCATTACCCCTCAGCCATAAGAACAATGCAAGAGGGGATTCTTCCATAAAGGTCTTTGAGATTTAATAGCATATCTTTGAGATTATTTAGAAATAAAGTAATTTTTACAGGCTCAGAAAATTCAGTCAAATGTCTATAATTGACAGTTCTGTAGAAACTGAAACTTGAATTTCAATTTCTATCACTTTAGCAGGTTTCTTATTGATTTGAACAAAAATCAAACCAAATTTTTACTTTTTTTCTTTTCTAATAGGGCACCTGTGACTTATGTTCAGTTCATCCCACCTTAGATTTTACTATTAACCATAAAAATGTTTAGGGTGTAATACATCTCCAAGAGAACCACCCATATCCCAGGTACATTTTGAACCATGGTGAAAAATAAGGGTTTCAGTAGAATTGAATAGAAACCTCCAACTGAACAACAATTAATTAATATCCTGCTCAAATTTGCTACTATTATTCAGTGGTGATACATTAAAAGGACAAGAGAACAGTCTGACTTTCAGATCTCAGAAGGATATTTGCCAATAATTACAAATAATAGACAGTCTGAACTGAGCAAATCTGAGCAGCAGTTTTTGAGGGGTGACAGGCACAGCATCCTACAGTCTTTTTTTAATTTTCCATGTGTGGAAAAACACTTCAACATGTGGCTAGCCCTCAATAATGAGTACCGACTTCACCAATATTCAAGAAGAATTTTTAAAAGCTGTTAAAATATCACTTGCATATGTGCCTGACAACAATTAGAGATGTAGATGAACCTCAGAGTGCTTTGCCTATGAACTAATTCACAGGCAGCACAAAGGGAACCAAGAACTTGTGTCTGTGGGAGTGCCTGGCCCTGTTCGTGCACAGCTGGAGGAGGCAGGGAGGCCGGGTGGAGGGAAGCTGCACAGACACAGCCTCTCCCTGGGAGAACAGGGCACTGATCCTTCCTCTGCTCAGGAGGCAGCAAGAGGAATGCAAGGAGGACGGGAAACCTGGGCTGAGCCGTGAGTCTCTGGTCACAGACAAATATAGTTGCAAATATAGTTCCCCCAGAACAATCATTATCCCAAAATTCTCAGGTTAAAAGGCTAAACAATAGGAAAGGAAAAATCAGAGTATTCCCTGGGCATGGCAACCCACACAAGATATGACAGAAAATCTGACAGAGAATGGGAAAGAAATGCCACAGCCATGCTGGTGTGAAGGGAGAGGTACAAAGGGAATCTCTGCTCTTTACATGGCTGTTCTTCAACATGAAAACAAAACTAACAAGTTTAAGACTTTAAACCAACAAGTTAAAAATTAAAAATGCACAAAGTGAAGAGGATATGCGAGTGCTGGGTATATTGCACATTTCTGGATAACTTCAACATACTATATTGCACAGCATAACACATTAGAACTAAATGGTCTTGCTCTGCAGATCACATTCTCAAAGGCCCTAGTGTACAGAGGTGACAAAAATTATTTGTAAAATGCATGCAAATTAAAAGTTATCATCTGCTAGCTACTTTAATTTTATCCCCAAATGGCACTATGCCTTCTGTTTTTTTCTGCCTTAAGGTTAACAGCACCGAATTAAGAGACTTAAGCAAGATGCTCTGTGGTAAGAGCCAGAGATGTCATTCCTTTTAAATTTAAGCGTAATTTCTCCTTCCTGAAATTTCCATGAACACTTTTGTTTTAAATTCCTTCTCCTCTAAACTTTTCACTGTGTTGTTTGAAACTTATTTAACTTTTGGCCTATGGCTGTATGGCTGGGTACCAGCTCTTCACAATCTTCTTTCTGCCTTGCCACTGGATTAAAACAGTCTTTAGAAACACATAGCAATGGAAAACTGAATAATGCACATCCCGGACTCTTGTTCATACAATAAAAGGCTTGTTCATGGATTTTTTAAGATTATCTTTTCCCTTAAGTGTGCAGATACTCATAAATAACAGAGGGTACAAATAAAATGAAATTAAACCACTACTGAAAATTCAGATGAGCCTTTTTCAGTAACTCTTGCATTGTGTAAAGAAAGTACCAGGAGCAAACAGAGACACCCTTCTCTTCTCCACAAGGAAGCACAGTTGTTGTAGAACAAACAGCATGGCTGCAGGAGAGCTGGTTTGGAGATGAGTTCATAGCGAGGCCCAAGCAAAAGCCAGGCTCTATCACTACTCACCATCCCTTAGAAAAACGTTTAGCCTTTTACAGATGATAATTCAGGCACAAGGAGATATGTCCCCTTCTCCACAAGCAACAACACAGTGGCTCAGAGAGGTAGAAATGCCATGGTGTTCTATCAATCCAAACCTGAGGCTAGGAAGATCTTTGCCACAGACATTTCCTTCAACATACTTGTTCCAGCTCTGATTTATTTCACTACTCTCACTCCAGAAACATTAAGTTCACAGCAAGAGATAAAACATCCAATCCCCTCACATATACCCAGTCTTAGATGTAAAAAACCACTTACATTCACTTTATCTTGTTTGTCTCTTCTGGGTTTAAGTGCAAATATTACTGAGCATTTTCATCGCCATTCAGTAGATGAAAAAATCTGAACCATCTATTTTTTCCCCTAAATTTAAAAGATTTCAGCACATAACTCCTCAAAATTTCCAGGTAGCATGGCAGTTAAATGTTTTTACCAGATTCAGAGGCAAAGGAGACAAAGATTAACTTGTTTTCAGAAACAACATTACTGTACTGAGCACAGAATACCTGACACTGCTCAGTGATAAGTATACTGCACTGAATCACAAGTACTACCTTGAATTAGATAATTTCTAAATAACACCCACACAGTTTACACCAACTTGACCATTACCTTTGAAAATTGAAATCTGAAGATGACTTGGTATAGTTCCTGGTCATTAGAGTAGGAAGACAGTGCACTCAGAAAATCAGCTAGCAAAGAGGGTAAACAACAAATCCTCCTTACATGCCTTCTACTTGTGATAAACAAAGCACAGTCTGTCTTTTCCAAACATCTCTTCAAAACAAGGACAAGTATAACCAGAAAGGAAGCCAGGAACTTTTATGGATTCCTGATTTAGCAGCATACCTAGTACCTAAACCTGTCCCAGTATAGCTCCCATCCCAATGATCCCCTTCAAAACCAGCAGCAATGCTGCTCTGAGCTCATGCACGTGTGCAAAGAACACCATCACAA